CTAAAATCAAACTGTACAATTTTTAAAAGCCTAATCCATATATGAAAATAAAAAATATTATTTGGTTTTTTTTGGTTCAGTTACCAATCATAGCCCTTGTATGAAGAGGATAGATTTTCTAATATGTTGTTTTTTTTAATTTGGAATGCTTAATTTATATGACAAAGTGGTGATATTTTTACAAGGTTGCGACCTTAGATAAAACACATTTTCAACAATATTTTTATTAAATGTTGGATTGCTTCGTCTACAACAAAATTTTTTAATAGTTGGACTGTTTCACCTACAATAATATTTCAAAAGTGTTGCTTATTTTAAATGCATTTTGCAACATTTCATAAAGCGTTGCCTATTTTTGAATTTAAAATACAAACTTCTGCAACACTTTATACAGTATTTCTTATTTTCGAATTTAAAATACAAACTGTCTACGGCAATTTTAAAATTGTTGTCTATTTCTGAATTCAAAATACAACTGTCTATTGCAACTCTTCACAAGTGTTATCTATTTTTAAATTCAAATAATTACATCACTTGTAAATTTTTTTGTCATTTTATAACATACTAATTATTATTAATTACAATAATCTCTCACTTGTTTTAATAATGACAAGATCAATTCTAAAAAAAGAAAACAAAAAATGTTAATATAGTTGGGCAGCTTTTGGTTTGAACTTAACTTTAGTAATGGTAACACAAAGCTTAATCGAAATTTTGGATAGCATTGTTTTGAACCTTATTCCTTGTGATTAGACTGTCGTTACTTTACACACAATTGTTTTTCTATGAGATGGAGGGTCGAAGCCCAAAAAGAAAAAAGAAACTACAACAAGGATATTCTAGGATTAGAAGTCTCAATCACATCTCTAACAAGAAGGGGATTAATATACGACGAACATTCGTCTAAAGTGGAGGAAGAATGTGACTGCCCTCTTCCTTTTTTGGCCAACGCATCCGCACACATATTGGCTTATCTGAAAATGTGGTGAACTTTGATCTCCCTATCTTGATGCATTAACGATCTTACACACAACACAATTTTTAATCATTCCTTGTCTATATCTCTCGCCTAACATTATTTATAATAATTGTATTCTCGGTTTCGTAAATTTTTCGTGAGAACTATTAAATCTGTAAATTTTTTAATATCAATAGACATTCTATAAAATATGAGAAATCTCAATTTAATATAACGAATTTCATTACTTAAAAAAATTGTCTTTAATTGAATATCACAAAATTTATATTAATTTTATAAAAGTCTTGATCAAATAACACAAAAAAATTTATCATAAAAAAAAATCTTTTAAATCGTTTCAAAATTCCAATCCAATACACCCCCTTCGTCGTTTTATAGTAAAATTTTTGCTACATTCCTGGAAATCACTATTGTACATAACTGTTTCATAGTAAAATTTAACTTCACAAATAAACTCATGGTAATATCCTAAGAATATACCAACATCATGCACATTATTTTTCCAAGTATTGAAAACAATACAAGAAAGTCCAAAGGTCTCTCTTTGGTTATAACATAATAGCATTCAACACACACTATAGTAAACATCGTCCATCAATATTCACCAAACTTCTTTCACAACTATATTTTCCATTTCATAAACCTGTCACACTTAACAACCCTCTATGTCATGGATGCTAGTCAAACAGAAAAAATATATGTTGCAGTTGGCTATGATGTTCTTGATGGATTTCAAACATTGGATTGGGCTCTCAAAAAATGGAACTCTCATCCAAATATTTCTATCATCATTTTACATGTCAAATACAACCCTTCCAATCATCATGTTTATACACTCCGTAAGTCTGACATGAAGTCTGTCATGTGCTTATTTCTAAGCCTGAGTCGGACATTTTCAAAGGTCTGATGAATTATATTTTGTAACTTTGTTATAGTTGGAAAACTCCCCGCAAAAGGTGCATGTGAAGAGAAACTAGAACGTATAAGAAACTATGAGCAAAACATTATCAACAATTTGCTTTCCAAGTATATAGCTATATGCGACAAAGTGAGGAAATTAATTAGTTTTAGTGTTTCTCTAAACTAACAAACTCAAATAATTAAAAGAATGATTTCTATATTATATTGCAGGTTCCAGCTGAAACATTTGAGGTTGAGAAATTTGATAAACCAATGCAAAATCTCACTATAGATTTGATCCTTGGTCTTGGAATAACCAAACTGGTTATTGGATTTTCATTCATGAGACCTTCCATGTATTCTTATTTCTTTCTGTCTCTATTTCTCTGAGTTATATATGATTTTGGTTTCTATTATATTTTCGTTCTTTTATAGGAAATCGAAAGATGCTATGAACGGACTGTTCTACGTTCATCAGCACAAGCCTGATTTCTGTGAATTGTTCATTATCTGTGGAGGGAAACAAGTTTCACCGAGAGTGAAAAACGATGAGATAACCATGGAGGATGATAGCGGCGTCAAAGTTGCAAAAATGAGAGATTATAAGACAAATCTTAAAGATTGTATAGCGAGAATTTTCTGTGATAAAACTATTGATTCCAACCAAGGGTGTTCTAGCAGATCATCGACAAGTTCGGAGTCTCATATTGATCAAAGTGAGTGGGAATTTTATATCCGAGAAATCGATAGTTATTTTCAAGAGTTACTGTCTTTAAATATGGAGGAAGGGATTTCTGGACAAGAAAATGATGATTCTTACTTTAGTCCAATTGAACCATTTGTTCAACAACTTAAAAATTCTGATAATAAGGTAATTAAAACTAGAATGCTTTTTCTCTCATCTTCAATGTCACTTTCACATTATACTTATTGGTCATATTTGATTCCAATTCAGAGTGGTGCAGAGAAATTTAAGATCCTAACAGATAAACTGAATGAAGCTTATGATACAATTCGTATGAAAAGAAAAGAAGAAAAGGAGAATTTGGAGAGGCATGCAAAAGCTGAATGGGCTATTTATGTATCCAATCTTCGGGTAATAATTCTCAACAGCGAGTCTCTCTTCTTTAAGTGATTGCGCTGAGGGAAGAACTTTATCCCTCAACTCTAATTTGTGTGTAATGAATGGTGAAACATTGTCATATTCATGTCAAAATATAATTTTGGTATCACAAAAGCTATGATTATTTTCAGGAAGAAGAACTTGAATATCTAAAAAGTGAAGAAGTGACAAGAAAGGAAGAGCTAAAGAAGGAATTAAATACAGAAAAAGAACAAATTCAAAAAATTAGAATGGATATTGAAGATAGCGAGCAGAGTCTTATATCAATGGAAGAGCTACAATTAGAGCTCCAAAATAAACTTCGTGATTCCACGTTGGAAGTTTCAGAATGTGAAACCAAATTCGAGAATGTAATGGCTGAAAGAACAAAGATGTTAATGGAGATAGAGGAGTTAAGTAAACAAAGATATGTGTTAAGCAAAAGGATTATGTTTTTCAAAGAAAAAGATGGAAAAGAAATATGCAATAAGCCAATAGAGAAGAGTTGTTGTTTAGAAGAGTTCACAGAGGAAAAGATCATCATGGCTACCAACAATTTTTCAGAATACTTGAGGCTGAAATCTGGTAGAGATTGGAGTAATCTTTATAGAGGAAACATTAATAACTCCGATGTTACAATCAAGATGGTTGATTCTACAATTCCCTTGTCCCAACAAGATTTCCAAACTAAGGTAAATAAACAGACACGAAAAACACGATATCTACTCTTTACAAAAACATATTTTAATTTGTATTATACTACTCCAAAGTAAAACCCTGGGTTGTTCTATCGGTGAAGGGTTGAGACCTAAAAGTGTGTTCTTCAAAAGGTCACTGGTTCAAATCAGTGTGCCAACAAGTACTGTGTTGGGTCAGTCCATGCAGAACTTTATGTTTTTAAGTTTTATGGACCTTTTCTGAAGTTAAAATTTATTTCTTTTAGTTGATGTCTCTTGGTACTATTCGGCATCCTCATCTGGTTGCTGTATTGGGCTTCTGTTCTGACCCGAAATGCTTAGTTTTCGAATACATGCACAATGGCACATTGGAAGAAGCCCTACTTTGGAAAACAAGAAGGGTCATAAGCTACCAAGATTGCATAAGGATAGCCATAGAAGTTTGTTCTGGGATGGGCTTTCTCAGTACATTTCAACCCAGGTCCATCATTCATTGTCACATTTCTGCATCCAACATCCTCCTAGACAAGAATCTTGTTGCAAAAGTGGCAGGGTTTGAGCTTCATGGCTGCAATGAAGAATGTAACATTGAGTCGGATATGAAGGCAATAGGGGTTCTGTTGTTGCATCTATTGACTGGAAGAGGAAATTGGGTGACAATCGATACAGAAGCTTTGTCTTATGAGATCGGTGATGAATGGCCATTTGATGTTGCAAGAGAACTTCTGGACTTAGCAATAAGGTGCATTTCCAATGAAGAAATGAGCATAACAAGAGTTATGAAAGAACTCAGTGAGATCAAAGAAAAGGGTTGTGACTCCATTGAAGTTCCTAACATTTTCCTTTGTCCAATCCTTCAGGTTAGCCTCCTAATCAAACTTAAATATATTCTATCGTGATATATTGCGGTTTTGGTTACAGTTTAACTTAAGTTTATAATTTTGGTGCAGAAGGTGATGAGAAATCCACACATAGCAGCAGATGGATATTCTTATGAGCTAGAAGCAATAGAAGCATGGTTGAATTCGGGAAATGAAATATCGCCTAAAAGCTTGAGGCTCGACAACACGTTACTTTTCCCTAATCATAACCTCCGTTCACTAATACAGTACTGGCATAGTAACAGATCAGCTACAAAAAATGAATTATCTATTGATTACAAGAGTTATGTATAAGTAATCAGTGCTATACATTCTATTTCCTATTTATTATACTGTAATTCAATTCTTCTATATGTTTTTATTCTTCATAAGCTTTGAAATCTTCTATAGCAAAAACATCACTATGTTCCTTTATGTTGGCTCACAAGCTGAATAAGGGAACTCAACAGAAAACTTTGTAATCATACTCCTAAGCATTTTGCCCAACAAAAACATCTAGCAACTTTCTTTGGCAGTGAATATGCAGACGCCAGCGAGGGATCAGTCGCAATGTCTTGAGTTCGCGTCCATATATATTCCGCTCGTTCATGATAACTTCTTGGTACCGTGTTTTCCAGTATGAATGCCACCAACATTGTAACCACCATGTTTAAGGACATAAGAGCATTGATTGCAAAATCAAGCTAACACAAATAGGACAAGTTAGTTTAACTTCATTCATTTTAAAAACAAATTATTGGATCCAAGGGATGTCATCATAGATAAGTGCTTACTTGTTTAATGCCTGAATGAAACGGTCCGCTAGAAGCGGCTGCATAAGGAACCAGATAAGAGGGCAATATCAAACTGGACTGAGGCTGGTATTGTTGAATATACGAAGGGATCGATAGACCAAGGAACAATGAAACGCCAACTATTGTTATGTTCCTGAAGTTTCCGGATTGGCCATACTGTAATGTTGAGAGGCCTAATGCGGTAATAAGGGCCCATATGAAACATAGTACTGATGCAGCTAATGCCTGTGGAATAGAAGCTAGAAGAGCACCCACCTTTCCTATAAAGAAAAAGAGCTTATGAGTTGGGAATTTTTCATTTTCTACTTTTAGTTACAAAAATACAACTTAGACTTAACTTTTATTTTCGTTCCCGATTGGAATAGTCATTGATCCTAAGATTTAGTATTGAACATACTAAGTTTTGTTGCTATACCTATAATTGAGAAGAGGATCATGAAGGCTGCTCCGAGTTCCACTACCCTCCGACTTGCCACCTTTGTTATGTCAATTGTGTGAACATTTTCAGTCAAGGTAGTTGAACCAGTTCCTGAACCCCAAAGACCTGCCAATATACTACACAAACCCTCCAATGCGATTCCACGGCTCACAACTCCTGAGGTTGGAGGCTTCAAATTAATTCTCAGAGATGCATTATGATAAGTTCCAACCTACAAAATGAGCATACCGTTCACATAAATTCATTTGAAAGTTTATAAGTGATTATGCAAAAATCCGATAATGTACTTACAGAATCCACGGAGGCAACCAGTGAGACTATGACCATGATTATGCAAGTCCTAAAATGGAAAATCAGGAAACCCCATTGTAAAGGGTAAGGAATTCTGAGCCATGAAGAAGTTGACAATGCATTTGATACATCAGCCCTGCAATGCTTCATTGTATAAGCATGCTTTTTGCATGCATCAATCAGAATGTTTGAACTAGGGATGTTCGGATCACATCCTTTGTAGTTATATGCTCCCCCGGCCGTTAAAAACGATGCATATATCCAAATTACTGTAACACTTAAAGGAACCTGCAGATATTAAAGCGTGTCAACAGAATTTGTTAATATATAGGTAATGCAGCCACTATGAGATCAAACATCGCGTGTTTTCTATTACGGTTTTCGTATCTTTTTACTTTTGAACCAGGGTTGATGTTCTAAAAAAATATCAAAATCAAACAAGTGACATCTTAGTTTATATACTTACAGCATAAATTTGAAACAAGTGGTGTCCAAAGATAGATATTCCGCGAAGATGCTTCAAATAAGAAAAATAGGAAACATTGATATGAGTTTCAAAAAGTCTAAGAGTTCATGTCTTATGAAAAGAAAGGAAAAATCCGGGTCACGAGGACTCACTCACTCACCAGAGTGAATATAAGAACCAACACTATTAATGGAATGCTGATTTCAATGCAAGTGCCAGCTTGTGGAAATCCATAGCTGAAGAATGCTAAACCTACAGCAGCAACAGTTGGAGCCACCACAATTGGGTTGATTACCCTACAACAAATTACTAGTAAAATTGCAAAGAATGAACACAAATAGTTGAGTGCTAAGTCTTGATAACTTTCTTCTGATGAAGTTTGGTCGCTTTTATGATCATTTCATTCACTAAATATTAAATATCACATGCAATGCTTCTTGTTACCTGAGAAGAATAGACATTAAACCACTAAATCCAAGAATACATTGGAATATAGAACCAACAAGTATAGCTCCTTGAAGTTCCCTCATTATGTGTCTGAATTTCTGCGGTTATAACAAAGCATCATTAATATAAAAAAAAAAAACAGAAACAGTAAGCAACAAAAAGTAGAAAACCAAAATTAAATGTAACTTACATGATGTGTAAGATTCCGAAACTCTTCAGAATTTATGATAACTAATGCTGGAGCCAAATACACAAACGAGCTCCCTTGAACTAAAGGAAGCCGAGTTCCAAAGTACAAATGCAGTATCGTTGTGATGCCAGAAAGAAACAGCATTGTAGAAATTACATTAGCAGTATCGTTCTGTCATCATTGACTCAAAAGTGAATACATATGAGTATAGAAAACTGTCAATTATTCTTTTACATAATCAAAAGATTAACCATTACATAAAAGAACAAATGCTTACGTCTGTTCCACCCATTGTCGGGACCATTACTAACGGAATAAACACTAATGAGCCAATCAGTGATAGGTAGTGCTGCAGGCCATAGTAGATAAGAGGTACTGCATTTAAAGATGCTATAATGTAAGTCTAGCATAAAGGTTATGATTTGGGTCAGACACTGACACGATACAACACCAACACATGTAGTTCCACTTAGTTTTCCCTTTTTTCAAATTATTTCCAGTGTTAACGTGTCATTGTCGAGTCTGGTGTCTGTGTTAGGGTTGTAAAGGTTAAGATATCAATTTTTCCATACAAATTCAAGTTAAACCAACCATACTATTTTGATAACCATCCAAAATTAGGCTTTCGATTTTTGTTATTAAACTGTAAGAAACAGCAAAGTATAATTTAAACTAACCAAAACCAGGATTTTCTGTTAGTCCATACTTCATTACAGCAGGTCTATGCCACCCTCTATCAGCAGGTTCCTCTCCTTCTGCATACAGATTCACCTTAACTTCTCCTTCGGTTACACCTTCCTCTTCCTTCTTTTGTTCTGGAAGTGGAGCAACCGCAGAGACTCCAAGTCCATGACCATTGCTATCCCTAACCAAATTCTCTGTCGATCCATTAGTCTCACCATTCCCTCTCAAATCAATTTTCTTTTCACCATGATCCAAAACAGGTTCAACCCCATTTTTCCTCTTCTGATTTTGGTTCCCTATAATCCTATTCAAATCATAGTTTGGCCTCAAAAACCTATCTTTCTCACTCCTTTTACCTCCATGCTTAAACTCAGAATCTAGTTCAATCTCATCGTCCCGGCTTGGCCTTGCAACCCCGAGAACCGGATCAATCTCTATCTTAGGAGAAGACCCTCCTCCTTCTTTATGATCATAATCAACAACACTATCAAAATTCTCACTTGCACTAGTACCAGCTTCCCCCGAGTAATCAGACACAAATCCAGTTCTCTTTGCCCAAGTCTTCAACTCTTTAGGATTATGATCTCTTCTAGGAACAAAAGGTTCAATTTTGATACCATTACTAGAAAGTTCCTTCTTTTTCCTATTGCCACCTCTCATAACTCTCCCCTTATCTAAATTTTTCGAGCTTAACCCAGTTTCCATTTTAGCTTTTTCCTTCGAAAATTGCATTGAAAACTCAAATAAACTCAACCCAATATATTGCAAAGAAAAAAGATAGTAACTTTACAACGAGAAGAAGCATGAGGCTTCACACTACAGCAAGAAAAAAACAAACTCCAGATGAAGAGACAGAGAGTAGAAGCAAAGGTACAGTGAAAATGGCGACAAGTTTAACTCAGTGCAGCTTGCAAGTTTCTATCAGAAGATGTGTGAGTGAGAGTTTTTGACATGTTTGATGTTGACAACGTAACAAACTAATTTAGGAGGTTCATGTCTGAATCTTAATTATATTGTTTTAGTTTTCTTTATTGGTGGAAAGTGGAAACTGATACTACAACAACGTGGGACTCTTTACTTCAAAAGGAAGTTTCGTTGTTTTTATTCTACTGAGCAGAATTTGAGGGAGGTTCAGAAAGTAGTTTAATTGGTTTGCCACATGATAAGAATGATGTTTATCTAGCAAATTTTACACATAAAACTTAAGCTTATGATTTGTTTTTCTTAACTCTATGTTTACCTAACTTTGTTTTTTTTTTATTATTTAAAATAAACAAATGACTTTGGAAGTATTTAATTTAACTTGCGATCCCCTCTTTTATCTGGCATCCCACCTAATTTTATAACTCTAAAAGTTCCTTTCTTAAAAATTTGAATTAAATTTATGTATAAAATTTTCGACAGACAATTCAAAATTTTGATATATCTAAAATTTTCTATAGTGTATTCAAAATTTCCAGTATAACCTAATATTGGATTTTTAAAAACTCTAGGGCGTTTGCAATTTTATCGGTATTTTTAGAAATTACCATGTTATATTAGAAATTTCAAGCAAAGTGAAATTTCTGATAGTTCTAGTTTATAAGATTTCAAACAATTAAGGTTTTACTGACAGTTTTGGATGGTTGTGATTGCACCGACTATTTTGTGTGGTCCAAATGAATTTAAAGTTGTATAAATAGGAGTCATCTATTGTTGAGAAAAACATCTCAAATTGCCTCTTCCTTAATTAAGATGTTGAAACGTCCAGAATTATCTAGTAGTGTTTAGGTTTTCTTTTTTGTTATTGTTTTTTTAAGTTATGTAATCGTCCGTCGAAGTTATATAACCCTTGTCGAATGTTAAATCATGTTTATCATGCATCAACAGAAGATCCAAAACGTTATCTAATAAAAAGTGTTGTGCAGATGGTTGAGTAATGTTACACATAATACACAAATAATGCATAAGAATAATAATAATAATAATAATAATAATAATAATAATAATAATAATAATAATAATAATAATAATGTCTAAATAGGTCCCCCACGGGCTATGTGAGTTGCCTGCGATATTCTAGTAAAAACCTCATCATCTAGTTTTACTAAACTCATAAGGTTATCCATAATAACTACAATCATTTGGAGGTGTTACTGGTCATCAGCATCAGCTAGGGGTGGCAGCAGCGACACTTCATTGACAGGTACCCAAGCATCGAAAGGCCTAGCATCATCTGTATCCTCAACAAGTGGGATGATGCGAGGGTGTGATACGGTGATGTACCACTCTAAGTAATCATCCTCACACTATGAGTCGTGTTGAACCCTCACTATGTTATCTCTAATGGCACCAGCAAAGCTGATGATGTTACTCTGAAACCACCTATCAATGCCCATAGCTGGAACATTCAGAACTGGTCGTGGAATGCCCTTGACATAATCATACTGTCGCAGATACCTCTCAGACAAGTGTCTAGCGACTGAGGTCTTCCATCGCATACAATCATAAAATAAAGAAGACTCGTCAAACTTACAACACCACCTAAATGTGCCTACTTGGCCTTCCATCTCCTCGCTCGTGGGGCGCCTGCATGGGTATGTTACACCCTTATGTCATAGATGGTAGAGAAATGCTCGTATATTCATCACTAATAAAAGAACACAAACACAACAAATAATAATTAAGAAATGTTATTCGTAACAATTAAATAAAAACCAAACTACAAATAAGAATTTCAAATATACCTGGAATAGACTCAAATAACCAGCAAATTGTCTGGTCTCAAAGGCACTCACAACTTTAAGTGTTGTATATAGGATGGTAAATACAGTGCATCCCCAAGCCCAACTAGTATCTTTAAGGCTACTAAAAAATTACATGTACCGAGCTTTAACATAAGCATGAGACTTGTCCGCAAAGAGAGTACATGGTACTAGATGTAGCATGTACAGCCTAGTGGCAGCCTCATACATATGTGCATCCATAAGCTCCTCGTATGTATCCTAAAGCTAAGACATCTGAAGGTGAGCTCCCTTGTTAAACTCAAACTCCTCAAGCACGACATCATCTTGTACAACCACCATACATGCAAGCTTCTGGCTAATAACCGGAGCATTGAAGAATTTGTCAGTGATGGGGAGACGAAACAAGGAAGAGACATCATTCAGAGTGATAGTCATCTACCTAAATAGAAAGATGAAAGTGAGATGTCTCCTTGTGCTATTTCTCAACAAAAGCAGTAGGAAATAGAGCGTCGAACATGGTGAGTGAGCAGACAGCAAATGAGAGGAAATCGAAATCATGTACAATTCTCCTGACCTACTCAGGCATCAAAGTTTTAGGGAAGTTATTCATGTAAGATAATGGAATTTATTGCTTTCTCATTCATGTGAATAGAATATATACAACTATTTTATAACATTTGGTTAACTATCTAGTTATGATACAACATAATTACAAAAAACTAACTATAGCTAATTCTGAAAAAATATTCTATTCTATCACACCCCCGGAATCGAAGCGAGAGATTCACGGACGCTTAGACTGGTCCAAAAATCTTCGAAGAGAATGCGAGGAAACCCTTTGGTAAAGATATCTGCAATCTGATTTCGAGAGGGAACATGAAGTACGCGTTCTTGACCATGAGCTAATTTTTCCCGAACAAAATGAATGTCTATCTCAATATGTTTGATACACTGATGTTGCATAGGATTACCAGAAAGATAAATGGCACTAACATTGTTACAATACACCAAAGTGACATGGGGAATAGGAAAATAAAGCTCCAGTAAAAGATGAAGCCAACATGACTTAAATACAACATTAGCAACACATTTATATTCGGATTCATCACTAGAACGAGAAATAGTGTGTTTCCTTTTGGAAGACCAGGAGATAAGGTTGTCACCAAGAAACACACAGTAGCTAGATGTGGAGCGTCTGGTATCTAGACATCCACCTCAATTAGTGTCAGTGTATGAAATAAGTTGTGTAATGGGGGATGGTGATAAATGTAGCCCAAGATGTATGGTATCCTGAACATAGCACAAAATGCACTTGATAGCAAGCATGTGTTCTGTACTAGGTTCATGCATGTGAAGACAAACTTGTTGAACCGCATACTTTATGTTTGGTCGAGTGAAGGTGAGATATTGTAAAGCCCCTGCAAGACTCCGATATAGTGATGGATCCTCATATGGTGTGTCAGGGGAGGTGTTAAGTTTCTTCTTTGTGTCAACAGCAGTCAAGGACAGTTTGCAAGACGCCATGCCTGCACGTTCGATAATCTCTGAGGGATAAATGCTTTCACTGAGAAAGATGCCACTAGGATGACGAGATACAACAATTCCCAAAAAGTAACTCAATGGACCCAAATCTTTCATTGCAACCTCAGATTCTATGAGTGACATAATGGATTTGCGAAGTGCATGAGTAGAGATGATAAGGATGATGTCATCTACATAGAGCAGAATGTAGGCCATCTCTGAACTTTGTCGATATAAATATTTAGAATCACATCATACAAGTGTTATTATTTAGTACTAACACAATCATAAGTTCCTATTTGCAACATTTACATACTTGACCATTTCTATAAAACCTAAAAGGACAACAATGGTACAAAATATGAAAAATGTCAAAACAATAAAATCTAAGATCTGAGTACAATATATATCATTGTAGAAGATACTAATACACAGGGAAAACATAATCTAAGCTTATCTTGAAACATCCAAGCATAGCTCCACTTGTAAACTAAACCTGCAATCAATACCTAAAAAACAACAACAATAATGGGGTGAGATAATAATCTCAATGAGTTCCTCTATATTATAGGTTCACTCGGCTCTACAGGGTTCTAATCAATTTCTATCTCAAGTCAAAATAGAAAGGGATAAGACTTGATTTCACACAGTTCGCAATGTATGGAAACATGTCTCTTAAGTCCATTAACTCAAATAATCACTAATCAGAAACTATACTAAGGCATCCTCTTTTCCCATCCTCTCCTACGTCTAGGACTTTCGGCATGGGTCATGGATCTTTGTAATGTAATTTAACATACGAAATGATTTCGGATTCAAGGTGTTTTCCACATGAATCATCGCTTCCCATGGGAATTCCCTCATCTCAAGCATTTTACCCGTAGGCTCCATTCGTACTACACACGAGAGTCAAACTTGCCAAAGTAATAGTGTGTACATTCTAGAGGAGCGCTCTACATAAGCCTCAACTCTTGAAACAACACATCTTAAGGGATTATTTTCGACTACGTGATAAAGCATAACATAACGTCGCATGGATTCAAATTCTAAGGGACATATAGTCAACCTTATGAATCTTCACTTCCCATGAGAATACCCCCATCTCAAGCATTTTACCCGTAAGCTCCATTCACTTATGTATTCACTAAAGATAGCGTGATTGTATTCGACAATTACAAGGCATCACATTCGCCTTGACTATAAACAACACAAACCATACATGTTTCATACAAAGCTCTCCTTACAACTAGACAACTACTTGCCAATGATACACACCTAGGCATCCTTGCACAAGCATTTCCATTTATGTTATTCATCATGACTTAATCATCTTAATAATTCATTTCATTAATTAATATCAAGGGCTTCCTCACCATTCTTATAGTCTTTCAAGCATGTTATCACACAATCAAACATTCAATCAATATCTATACATGTCATCACACATTATCATACATT